CTTGAAAGCTGAAATTGAAGGGGAAGAACGTATTCGTTTAGCAAAGGGATTTGTTAGTAATGAACACAAATTTCAGAAGGAAAAAATACAGCGTTCTGTTCCTAGTAATCCATCGACGGCAGCAGATTTGTTTGCGAGAACAAACATAAAATAAAAGAAAAAATGTTTGTATATTTTGTGATAAATTGCACGAAAGTAAAGATTGCTTTTCTGCACGTAAACTCAAGCTTCAAGAAAAACAAGAAATTTTAAAAAACAAAAAGCCTGTTTTATCTGTTTAAAAATTGGACATCGTTCTAAATTTTGCAAGTTCAACATCAAATGTGTCCTTTGCAGTAAAAACAATTCGATTTTGATGTGCCCAGAATTCCCTGGAAATAAGATGAAAGAACTTGAGAAGACGTTGTCGTCTGATGTTAGTTCGTCTAACTTATGCACTTCTGATGAAATATTGCTTCAAACGTTACAAGTCAAACTGAAGACTAAAGGGAAAGAGCTACAAGTACGTGTACTTATTGATACTGGCTCACAATATTCTTACATTCTTAAAGAAACAGCTAAGAAACTAGGTTTGAAGCCTACAGAAAAGAGAATCTTAATTCACTCTCTATTTGGGGGAATCACAACTGAGAAAAGGGAGCATTATGTTTATGACGTTAACCTGATATCTTTGAAAGGGGGCTTCTCCTGTAACATAAAGGTTTTGGATCAGCAGATCATTTGTGGCAACATTCCTCGGTTGAGAAGAGACCTTTATAAGGAAAAGTTAAGAGAAAATAAAATTTGGCTCACTGACTATGGAGAAGGTTGTCCTGATATTGATCTGTTAATAGGTGCAGATTATTGTGGTAATATATTTACAGGAAGAATATGTACATCGAAATCCAATTTGATTGCATGTGAAACTTATTTATGATGGATTATCATGGGAAATATGTCCGAAGAAAGGTTTGACGAAACTTCATCCCACTTAGTGACATCTTTACTGATTAAAAATTCTTCTGTGGCTGATTTGTGGAAATTAGATATTATAGGTATAAAGGATCCTACTGAAACAAGAACTAAAGAAGAAACGGAACAGTCCATTATTCAGCATTTTCGAGAAACCGTTCAGAGAGATGAAAATGGCCGTCAAACTACCTTGGTTAGAGACGTACGAGACGTTAATGAAAACAAAGATATAGCTGAAAAAAGATGCATAAACTACTACTCAGAAACTTCTTAAAGAAGGAAAATACAGATGACTATGAAGCTGTATTTAAGGAATGGTTACAGGAAACTATCATCGAAGAAGTACCAGATAGTGAATTGGGAAATCTTTGTCATTATTTGCCTCATAGAGGTATTTTTAAAGGAAGTTCTACTACGAAGATACGCCCTGTATTTGATGCTTCGTGTAGAAGTAAGAACTCACTTTCACTCAACGACTGTCTAGAAACAGGACCAAATCTTATCAAAAAAATTCCTCCATTACTTATGAGATTTCACCAGAAAGAAATTGGTGTAGTTTCGGATATAAAAAAGGCCTTTTTACAGATATCTGTGGCCAAAGAACACCAAGTGAACAATATTTTGACTCTAATATTTTTGTTTATATTTTTCTAACTGCAGCTTCTGAGTAATATTGCACAAGCTTCAAGCAGATGTAATCGTTTTCTTTATAGGATTTTTTATTCATTATCTATTCATATTATTATTATCTATGTTTTGTAACAGTTTATGTTTCAGAGAATGGCAACATTATGATGTTGTTCTTTTTAGAGAGTTAGTGTAACTTTTGTTTTCCTCATTTGAGAGTATGAATAAAGGAATTATTTATTTATTGTAGAGTCATAAATAACTAAAGAGATATAGATAGTTATTTCCGAGTAATAAATAGTTCTTGAGGTAACAAAATTGGTGAGAATTTTTGAACATTTGGCGTCCGCTGACTGGACTGTTATCTGTTAGTAGAATTCTTTCGTTTATTTATAATGGATGTTTTGAAGTGCAAACGGTCTCAATTTAGGAGATTGTTTACAAAAGCTTTAAATGATTTTGAGAAGAATGAAAATGATTTATCTTTAGGCGGAAAAATTTCGAAACTTAAATTAGTTGAGGACAAAGCGAAACCTATGATTGAAATAGAACAGAATTATAGAGAAGAATTGATTAAAATTGAAAAAGATGAAACTGTGATAAATAATGAGTTTGATGAGTCAGAATGCTATAAGTGGAGAATAGTAGAAAGCAAATTAGTTTCGCTTCTAGCTGAAAAGGAAAACGGTTCTGTTGTTAATGAAAGCTTAACTCAAAATGCTACTATACGTTATCCTAAGCTTAAACTTAAACTTCCGATCTTCGATGAGAATATTAAAAGCTGGTTAGGATTTTTGGGCCAGTTTAAAAAGATCGATAATGATCCCAATTTAGATGATCATGATAAATTTGCATATTTATTGCAGTCTGTAGAAAAAGGGTCATCTGCTGAAGAGTTAATCAAAAGCTTTCCGCCCGGTGGCGAAAGTTATAGTAAAGCTATAGAACAACTGCAATCGCGTTTTGGGAAAAACGACCTTCTTATAGAAGTCTAAGTTAGAGATCTACTTTCGTTAGTATTATTAAAAAACTCTCAGCAGAAATTTTCATTACGAAAACTCTATGATAACTTTGAATCGAAACTAAGAGCGTTAGAAGTTCTGGGTGTTGCTAGAGATAAATATGCGGTGATGTTATATCCTCTAGTCGAATCATCATTGCCGGATGATACATTAAGAGCATGAAAATGATTCCGAGTTATTAATGGCAGTCAGAGAGAATCTGAAAGTAGTGAGCAAAAAGAGAAAAATGCGTCAACACATCGCATGGATTTGGATGGTTTGCTTTCATTTTTGTTCGATGAAATTGAAGGTGAAGAGAGAGTATCTATAGCTACTCAGTGCTTTACTAAATATCAGACTCCTAAGCCTGGGAATGCTAAACACTTTGGTTTCAAAAACCGTGGAGAAATTTTCCAAAACACCTTCTGCTTCTACTCTAATAGCAACATCTGAACAAAATTCAACTGGATGTATTTTTTGTGCTGGAAATCATGCATCTGGTGATTGCGTTTAAAGCAAGAAAGATGACGTCTGAGGAAAGGCAAAAAGCAGTTCTAAATAGTCGCAGTTGCTTTTTTATGTTTAGACAGAAAACATGTAATAGCTAAATGTAAAAAACGAACATCGTGTGTGATTTGTGGGAAGAAACACCACATACTTTTATATAGAGATATCCAAGCTGAATCAAAATCTCTAGTTCCTGTCAGCATGAATAAGGATGAAAATACGGATGCAGTACCTGAACGAGATGAAGCCCTCTCCAATTTGGCGAGAACAACAAATGTGTTTTTGCAAACTTTAACGGTTACATTGAAAGGGCGAGATAGAAAGCGCCAGGCCCGTGCTATTATCGATTCAGCTTCACAGAGATCTTATATTTTAAAAAGCACTGCAGATGAAATGAAATTTGAGAGTACATCTAAAGAAAGATTGAGCCATTCATTATTTTGCGGGTCATGTACTGATGTCGTCTAAAACGTATGGAACTTATCATTGTAACTTCAAAGCTCTTAGCCAAGATATTATTTGTGGAAGTATACCACCACTAATTGCTAATGGCGAGTGGATCCGACAGCTTAAAGAGAACAATATATTCCGTATGCGACGATAGTAATGGACCAATAGAAATACTTATTGGCGCTGACATTGCAGGCAAGTTGATGACTGGAGGATTTAAATTGCTTACTTCAGGCCTTGCTGCTATAGAAACTAAACTTGGTTGGACTTTTTTTTGGGAAAAATGGTATGCGTGAGATCTCGGACAATTCCGCACTGCTCGTCACATCCATGTTGAATAAGGAAATATTGATATCCGATCTATGGTCTCTAGATTCACTTGGAATTCTAGATCCCTCAGAGAAGAAAAATAAACTGGAACTTCAAGAAGAGGCAAGAGATCATTTCTTGTCTACTGTAAAGGTGAACGAAGAGGGACGTTTTCAAGTCAGCTTGCCATGGCTTGATAACCATCTACCGTTAAAAGATAACTATGACTTAGCTGTAAAGAGATTAGATTCTACAGTAAAACGACTAAAAGCTGAGAAACTTTATGATGCTTATGGAGAAGTTTTTAGTGAATGGGAACGAGAAGGCATCATAGAAGAAGCACCAAAAAGCGAAAACTTGATGTAACATGCCATTATCTACCACATCGACACATAGTAAACATAGTAAAAGAAAACAGTACTACATGAATCAGGCCAGTGTTTGATGCCTCGGCCAAACAAAAAGGATCGCCTAGTCTCAATGATTGTCTAGAAAAAGGTCAGAAACCTTATCGAACTGATTCCTTCAATTCTTCATAGATTCCGAATGAACAGAATAGGAGTTTCTGCAGATATACGAAAAGCATTCTTACAAATAAGTCTCAACCCTAAGGATAAAGACTATCTAAGATTCTTATGGTATAGAACTGATGGAAAATTGAAGTATTACAGGCATTGTAGGGTAGTATTTTGGAGTTACAAGCAGCCCTTTCTTGCTAGTTTCTGTAATTCACCATCTTCTAGAATCCACTTTGAAACAACTAAATGGAAAACCCAAAGTATAAAGTGGATATTATTGAGCAGCAATTGAAGAAGAGCTTTTTATGTAGATAATTATTTAGCGAGTGTGAAAAAATGATTTATAATTGCAACAATTCATACAAGTTGCTTCAGATACTTTAGCTACAAGAAAGCTAGAATTACGTGGTTGGGAATATAGTGACCCAACAGATAATTCCTCTAGTACCACAAATGTATTAGGAATGATTTGGGAACGATGTGGAGATTACCTTTGCCTTAATATTACTAACATCACCTACAATCTACCAGAAATTTTGTCTAAAAGAGAAATTTTAGCTACTACACACAAAATATTCGACCCTTTAGGAATAGCTTGCCCCGTAACTTTTGTGCCGAAACTTTTACTTCAGCACCTATGGAAGTTAAGTTATCTTGGGACCAAGAAATTGATTCAAATTCAAAATCACAATTTTGTAAATGGTTGAATGATTTGCAGTATCTGGAAAGAATGAGAATACCAAGATGGTTAAACTGTGATCGTGAGATTGAAAATATCTCACTTCATTTCTTCAGCGATGCGAGTAAACTTGCATATTCAGCTGTGGCCTTTGTTCGAGTACAAACAAGAGATTCGGTTCAAGTTCATTTGGTGCAAGCTAAAGCGAGAGTTGCACCCAGCGGAAGGAAAAAGACAATAGCTCGATTGGAACTTCTTGGAGCTACAATATGTGAACGTTTAGCATCCAGCATAATACCTGAATTTCAAGCTGATGATATTTGTTTTTGGACAGATTCGTCTACTGAGCTAGCTTTGGATACAGAGAAAATGAAGTATGGGACGTATTTGTTCACAACAGAATTAATGGAAATAAAGCGACTGACTTCTATTGAATCTTGGAGGCACGTACCAGGATCACTGAATCCTGCTGATTTGCCCAGTAGAGGATGCTCTGCTTCTTATTTAATTAAATCTAGATGGTGGAAGGGCCTAAATAAATGGCTATATTTATCACCAGAAAAATGGCCAAAAGAAGATTTTAGTGCTGATGAAGAAGAAATAGCTCTTGAGAAAAAGAAAAGAATTATTTCGTCCTTAATAAATCTTAATGCTAGTGAAATAGTTGCTACTAGATTCTCAAGTTATCGTAAGACAATCAGACTGGTAGCGTGGATGTGTCGTTTTGTTTACAACTGTAAACATCAAAACAAGAAAAAGGATGAACTTACTGTATCTGAGTTAAATGAAGCAGAGAATATCTTGATTCGTTTAATACAAAATGAGTCCTTTAATGGAATAGAAGATAAACGGATTTTAAGTCTTAATCCATTCATTGATTGTGGGATCATCAGAACTAAAACAGCGATATTTCAAAGAGAAGATACATCTGAGTTCAGAACTCCTGCTATTTTGCCAAGTGATCATCCTCTTATAAGAAGTTTAATAATGGAAGAACATAAGTTGAAAGGACATGTTGGAGTTTTCTCACGTCCTAAATTCCTTAAGAGAAAGATTTTGGATATTAGCAGGAAGAAGAGTTGTGTCATCCGTTTTGAAAACTTGTATAACCTGTTTAAGCGTTATTCAAACAAAAATGTTAACCCACCACGCCACCACTTCCTAGAGTGTGGGACAGCTTAACAGCGCCACCACTTCCTAGAGATCGGGTACAGGATGCCTCAGTATTTCAAATAACTGGCATAGATTATGCTGGACCTATATTTCTAAGAGACTACAAGAAGGCATGGATTTGCCTATTCACTTGCGCAGTGTAGCGTTGTGTTCATTTGGAACTGGTTACATCCTTAACGACAGATACATTTCTACAAACGTTTCATCGTTTTTCTGCTAGACGTGGGAAGCCATTCATAATTTATACTGATAATGGAACGAATTTTGTGATGTTCCGCTGGAGTTCTGCTCAGATCCAGATGGTGGGAGGGTCCACCGTCTCTGGCTTAAACCGTCTCTGAAATTAAATTAAATATGGAAGACGTTTTCTAAAGAAAGAAAATCTGATGTGTACACCACATGACTTCCTTGTACGGAATATTAAATTATACGCATTTTTTCTTGCATTTCATTTAAACTTATTGGATTGAATTAAATCTACTTCGCCGACAGCGCATAAACCACAATGGAATAAATGCATTCTTTAAAATTCACTCTAGTATTTGTTTACCATAGCGACACTCTGGCGCTAGATTCACTTTACAGTGTTAATAATTATATGACAGTTAACTTATATAATAATTATATAACGGAAACTAACTGTTATATAATCCAATAATTATATAACAGTTAACTTATACACTGGTGTGCAAAAATTAAGGACGAAGTCGAAAAATTAGCATATCAGCTGAACGAAGAGGCAGAGTGGACAGAAAGACCAATCAGGAGATTAAGTAAGGTGATGTACGGTAGCACATGCGCAGATATGCAGGTAGACGTAATGGGGGAGTGTCTGAGTAGTATAAAGCATGTTGTCGGTGTAAGATCAGTATTTCTGGCAAAGTGATTGCACGCCGTATAGCAGTAAAAATCACACCGAGTTGCTGCCTCAGCGAGAAATGGCGAATAATAAATCTGTTAGACGACATCTGGATGCTTTTACCCGAGGTCGAATCATTGGGAAGTTGGAAGAAGGCCGCAGTGTGACAAGTGGGGCTGCAGAGTTCGAAATTGCTCACAGCATCGTTTCACGACTTTGGAGACAATTTTAAACTACAGGAACAGCTATCCGGGGGTTTAGTAGTGGTCGTCCACGAGGAACCACACCCGCAAGATGACCGGTATATTGCCTTACAGGCCAGAAGAAACAGGCGGCAGACAGCGGGAGAAATGGCTAGACACACGACTGGACGACCGATATCGCGTTTTACCGTGGCCAGAAGACTGTCGGTGGTGGTCTGTTTGCACGACGCCCTGTACGGTGTGTACCTCTAATGCCTGCCCATCGGAGAAGGCGTTCTCTGTGGTGCCGGGAACACCGGAATTGGAGAGACAATGAATGAGGACGAGTACTCTTTACAGGTGAGAGCAGATTCAGTCTGAGTAGCGATTCTCATCTCATACTCATCTGGAGAGAGCGGGGAAGCCGCAATCATCCCTAGAACATCATTGAAAGGGACAGGTATGGAGGCGGCGGTGTTCTCGTTTGGGGAGGCATCATGCTTGGTAGTCGTACAGAGCTTCACATCTTCGACGCAGGTTCAGTCAACGGGACCCGTTATTATAACGAGATTCTTCTTCCATATGTGAGTCTTTTTAGAAGAGTTATGGGTCCGCAGTTCCTTTTCAAGGACGACAATGTACCATGTCATCGCACAGTAGCTGCCGAACAGGTCTTAGAGAGTGAGGATATTGAACGTATGGATCGACCGGCACGATCTCCGGATCACAATCCCATCGAGCATGTATGGGATTTTCTAAGCAGATGCTTGGCAGCTCGTACCTTACCATCAGTAACGATTCCGGAGCTTCGGTTAGTACTGCAAGAGGAATGGGAAGCAATGCCTCAACAACTCATTGACACCCTCATTCTCAGCATGGGCAGACGCTGTGAAACCTGCCTAGCAGTCAGGGGAGATCATATCCCCTAATAAGGACGGGATGTTTCTTGCTGGACACCCATCACAGGGATGTTTCGGCCTTCAGTCGCATTGCGCTCCATGCTACTTTTTCAATAAAGCTTCTTTTTATCCCTCTGATTTCTCTTTTAGTATGTGTTGCTTACATTACTCATGTCCTTACGTATTGGGGATCTTACGGTATTAAAAGTGTTGATTTGGAAAGCTTTTGTACAAAGTTATATTGAAAAAACCGTCTCGTCCTTAATTTTTGCACACCAATGTAATATATTTCGTTCATATTATAACTCATAATGCACAAAATTTATATCATTTAAAGAATAGAATTATCTAATCGTTGCCACATGTTCTATTCAAATACTATAATAAAGCTAGAATGATGTATAAAAGAAATTAAGCAAACAAAACAAAAAAGAAACATTTTTTCACAGACGATTGAGTGTTTCTCATTTAATTAATTCAGTTCTCACTTTGCGAGAAGGCTAAAATGCATAAAAACTCAAAATATCTGTATTAAAAATTACGAAGTAAATCTTAAACTCTTATTTCCTCGAAAAAATTCTAGAGAGAATTAAGCATGATTTAATTGGCAATAATAAATGAATGCGTTACCTTTGTTGTTGCAAAGCTAAGTTTTTCTAGATTGGCAACAAATCCACTAGTCTGTTTCAAACGTAAACATCAATGGCCGCCATATAAAAAAGGCTTCGCGGCACTTAGACAACTCTAAAATTGTTGATAATTCTCAAAATATTGCATACAGATTTACTAAAGGCATATAAACCTTAACCGGAAGATAAAAACAACATAATACAATTATTTTTAAACCAAAAATTGTACAATTTACAAACATATAAGAGTAAAGAAACTGAGATCACTGAGCCGGGTAACAGAGTGGATATATATATAAATATATTTATATACGTTTGGTGCGGCCGATTGCAACCAAAACACGAGGTGCACATCTACATGTTATAGCAGTCCTATATGCAAAATTTCAACGTTCTGAGGCTACTCGTTTTTGAGTTATGCGAGATACGCACGTACGTCCATACGTTCGTACAGACGCCACGAAAAATTATCTTCAGAATTCATTTTAAAGCAGTTTTATAATTTTTTTGAAGGAAAAAAGTATTTTATTCTGTCCTTACCTACAGATATCACGCAGAAACATCGTTAAATTGCATTCGATAGCGGTCAAAATGGATATTTTGGTTGAAATATGCTGCCTGAAACTTTTCGCGATTACAATACTTCCTTTTTACTTCGTACAAGGAAGTAAAAAAAGGGAATAACTGCCTTAGCTACCTCAGTTGCTCTTAACGAAAAATGGTATTTGCATCGTTTTTCTAAATATTCGAGAATCATTCGGCTGATAGCTTGCATTCTGCGATTCTTTCATAATTCTAGAAATTCCGATCGCAAACTGAAGGAAGAATTATCTGTTCAGGAAATAGAAGCAGCTGAGAAAAGGCTTTTCTTAATTGTTCAGAAAGAATCTTTCCAAAACGAATCTACAAAATCAAAGTTGAAAACTCTTTTCATTTTCACTGATAAAGAAGGCTTTAATGAGACTGAAGACAGAAATCCTTCGAAGAGATGATACAGATTATTTCGTGTGTCCCATACTTTAACCTTCTGATCATCAAATTGTAGAAAAGTTAATTTTTGAAAGACATACAGTACTTTCACACGCTGGAGTTCAAATTGTTTTGACGGATATTCGTCAACGGTTTTGGATTTTAAGAGGACGCGAAACAGTTCAAAGGGTAATCGCAAAATGCATTCGATGCAAAAGACATAATGCAAAAAAATTCGAAACAGTAACAGCCCCACTGCCTGAAGATAGGGTCCGAGACGCTCTAGTTCTTGAAGTAACTGGAGTAGACTTATCTGGACCTCTTCATTTAAAGGATGGAAAGAAAAGCTGGATACTTTTATTCACCTGTGCTGTTTATAGGGCCATACATCTTGAACTGATACAAGGACTTTCCACCGAAGATTTTTTGTTGGGCTTCAGAAGGTTCATAGCCAGACGTCGACAACCAAAAACTATGTATAGTGACAATGGTACGAACTTTGTTGAGACGAACAACCTCTTTCTTTCACTTGATTGGAGCAAAATTATGCAAGAATGTTCTATTTTGAAGATTACATGGAAGTTCAATCCTCCCACAGCTGCATGGGGGGGGGTTGGTGGGAGCGTATTATTCAGATGGTTAAGAAAATTTTGAGAAGAATATTAGAAAGAGCCTGCTTGAGATATGAGGAGCTGTGTACCATTCTCTGCGATACGGAAGCTGGAATCAAGGCAAGACCGTTAAATTATTTGTCTGAAGATCCTGAAGATTTAATGCCTTTAACACCCTCTATGTTCATTAAGGATATAAGAACGGTGGGAGTTCCGGACTTAGACCATATAGATGAAGTCAATATCAATAAGAGATATAGATATCAGCAGAAATTACGACAAGATCTCAGAAAAAGATTTAGAGACGAATATTTGAGTCTCCTAATTCAGTCCAGAGATAATAAAGCTACTCGAAGACAAATATATTTAGGAGATGTGGTACTTGTGGGAAGTGACAACAAAAAAAGATTGGACTGGCCATTGGTCGAGTTATTGAACTATTCCAGGGTCAAGATAATTGTGTTAGAGTGGCAAAGGTGAAAACAGCTGCAGGTGAATTGATCCGTCCTGTGCAACGACTGTATCCTTTGGAAGTGATGGACGACGAGAACTTGTTTTTACCTAAACCAAACAAAACCAATTTAACATTGCTTCTAGTAAAGAAATTAACTTTAAGCCTCCTGATAAGATAATTAAAACTAGATGTGGTAGAACTATTGTAAAACCTTCGCCTTTTAATTAGTTTTTTTCCTTTTATGATTATACTAAGTATTGTTTAGTCTCGTTATTAAGTATATTGTATTTTGATTTATGTTCCGCCCACCATTAATCAAAAGGTGGAAGGAGATGTCGCGAGCAACTCAACGATTGTATAAATGCAACTTCTTAAAAGATTAAGTTTTTACGGTTTGGCAACATTG